ACTATCATCAGGAGTAAGAATTTACAAGTACCGTTTAATTAATTAATTTTATTTATTTATTTACTTCAAGGTATGTTAACAAGCACAGGCAACATAATAAAAAAAAAATAGTTTCATTAGATTGTACTGTAGCTTTCTCTCTGCGATGCAAGTTAATTATCTCACGAGTGTAATAAACAAGAGAGAAAAAGTTGGTAGGTTTGGTATTTACTAAATTCCTTGTATCTGTGATTGGTTTTATACTGGCCAAATATATTTGTTTGTTTTGGATACACGAGGGCTATTTACGCTAGCCGTCTCTTATTTAGTAGTATAAGACTAGAGGGAAGGCAGCTAGTCATCACCGCCCACCGCCAACTCTTGGGCTACTCTTTTACCAACGAATAGTGGGATTGACCGTCACATTATAACGCCCCCACGGCTGAAAGAGCGAACATGTTTGGAGGGACGGGGATTCGAACCCACGACCCTCAGATTGCGAGTCGAGCGCCTTAACCACCTGGCCATAAACCTGAAATTCAGAATTAAAGATCATACAAATGCGGTAGGCAAATGTAAAAGTGAATGAATGGACTTTAACAGAACAGAGCAAACAGATCTCATGTTAATGACAGAAAAAAATAACTAAAATGATGAATCTGATTGAGTTTAAGTAGGCACTAAATAGTATAGAATCAGTAGCAATTGGGGGAACAAAATATAAATTTGAATAAAGGTGGTGAAAGAAATGAAATACTGGAAATCTGTTTTGTAAGCTGCTTGTGGAAGATTATAGTGAGGTTTTGTTCGAAGTACAGATGGCGCTGAGGTAGTAATGTACGTATATAAGTCAGTATTTGATTTTAATTCTTACTCTTAATGACGGTGACGTAGAACACTACCGAAACATGTAGCTTTTATAAGGCTATCCATGTCCTGTTTTTATAAAGCTATTATTATTATGCAACAATTCAACTTTTGTATGTTAGTTTTAATATTTTACCTATGTACAAGTACCGTTTAATGTATTTGATGCTAGTCTGAAAAGGTTCGATAATATTTTTCTTCTTATAAACATTTGAAGCAAATATGCAAAATTACGCTTTATTAGAACGTATAATTAATTGTACTGACTTCACAAAGTCTCCTAACAGGCTAAGAATGTCAGCTGTTAAATAAACGTAGCTAGCATTATCCATTTTCAAAGCAATTTCTGTGCACTTAAAATATGCTAAAATTTTACAATTTCGAAATGTTATATATTTTTTAGTCCGATTACAAAAATGAAAGAGAGAGTTCGTGGTGCCATCTAGCCGAAATGAAATAAACAAAAACTAGAGGGGCACTCATTACAGCGCATACCTCCGCCACACACCGTTAATCATATTCGTCCCTCAAAAAATACGAAAATGTGTCCGTATGACCATTTTTGGCAGGACAATGAAGAATAATATTATACATATGTCCACGAAGTTTAATCAAAATTCGATCATTTTTGACTGAGTTATAGAACAAAAATAGTGTGAAAAATCGGTCTCCATGCCAACAGATTTTGGATTTTCGTGACTTTGCTGCGATCTTGACCCTCCAAAAAAAATCACTTCTAAGTTGGGTCATAGTATAAATGCATACCAACTTTCATCCAAATCTATTCAGCCATTTTAGAGAAATCTTGCTGATAAACACACACACACACATACATGGGTGAAAACAACCTCCGCCTCCAGGTGGCGGAGGTAATGATTTCAATCTTTAAGATATATCAAGTAACAATTCGTAAATCAAACAGAAGATTTAAGTAAAATATACAGTAGTGTCGTCTAGAAGAAACAAAATAAAATAGACGTTGCATTTATTATCATATGAACAATCGTCAACAGCAGTAATAAAACATTGTCCAAAAGCATCAAGTTCAAAACATAGCTATTAATTTTGTTAATCTATGATCAAATCTACACGGTGTGAATTACTATTGATATTTAATAACATCAAGTACATGCTCTCTCTTATAAATATATCGGACAAGCTTCCCATTGTGACGTTTTTAACAGGTTTCAAGGTTCCAAATCACGCAGTATCATATCTTACAAACTAATTGGTGGAAATATGAATAGCTGGACAAATAAATGTACGTACGAGTAAACCATTTGACGAATTTTAACTTCATAAAAGTTGTTTTGGTTTTAATAACGGATTCTTCATAATTCAACAACGCAGATTTCGAAAATAATATTCTTTTTTTTCTATCATGTAAGGATTTTTTTTACAGATCTGGAAAATCTCTTACTTAGATCAAATTATTATTTCGTTTACCACAATGAACAAATTATTATATTTGTTAAAAAAAATATACAAACAAACTGAAGAAAAGGGAGGAACGTTGATGTCAAACGAATATGCATCCTCATTCATCCTGATTTTTTTGTGAAATCTACGTCTTTAAGTCTCAAAACTACGTGCTGTGATCTTTCCTTTATGTACTGCGTTATGACGTTTGGTGAAATATCTGTACGTGATGGAAAAAAATGGATATCATTTTCGGATTCAGTGAACAGGAATTACTGTATAAGACGTAAACATTTCAAGACAATAAAAACATCGCAGGGATGTGTTATGGGTAACTTTCTGATGATTGCGTTATTCTGGTGTGAGTGTTCAATGGAGCTATCTTTTTTTTTTTCATATTGTTACGTCTCTGTTCGTTTGTTAATTTCCGGTATAAATTCTTTCCGACGAACTTCAG